TGACGGAAGAGTGAAGATGAGACCGCTAAAATGAAAGCGCTGGGGTTCAGTCTTTTACCGATCTCTCAATGTCAGCATCAACAAAGACCATCGAACACATGATCTTTCCAATAACAAGCCCGGAAAACACCACTGCAGTGCTATTCCATTGAAATTGCGAGCTGCCCCCAACCCTATCGAAGGAGAAATAGAGACGCCGAGTAATACGCCGAGGATGCCGCTTCTTCATCAAACCAAAAGAAAATGCCCTAAAAACCCCATCCTTGCACATCATGTACAACATCCCTCCACAAGCCGCCTCTGCCGCCAAAATCATCTGACAAAAGAACAGAAAGTAATCAACAGCCAGCGCTATTCCCCAACACGTACTTCCGTCGCTTACGCACCCCACTTCTTGACCGCCTCGCCCAGCTCTTTCGTCAACCCACGCCTCACAGCCAGCAGCTCTTCTTTCGCATTCTCAGCCTCTTTCTCGCTTCTCTCGACTCGCCCTCTCAGTTTTTCAACTTCATTCCTTAGTTCTTTTCGTAGTTCCTTGCTTGCTTCTTCCACAGCTGTTAACCGGTCTACTTCCACCCTTAGCTTTTCGCCTGATGTTTCGACAGATTCCAACCGCTCTTTCATGGCCATCATCTCTTTTCTCATGTTCTCAGACTCTTTCTTTAGCGCGTCGGATTCGATTTGTAGTCCGCGGTAGGCGTGGGATTCCTTCTCCATACGCTTCTGGAGGTCGGTTTTTTCGGTCTCTAGGCTGGTGTTTGAGGCTTTGAGACCGGCGTTTTCGTCTTTGAGGTGTTGGATTCGATCTGTTAATGCGCGGTTCACACGCTCTGGTGCTGGACTGCGTGGGCTGAGGATAGATAATGGTGATGGGACGGAAGTTGAGTCTTTGAGATTTGAGGGTGGCACGATTTGCTCGCTGACGGTGCGACGGTGTTTCTTGGGACGAATAGCCGATGCAATGCTGGGGTAGTCTTCATCGCGTTCGCGTTTGATCTTGACGCTCAAGTTATCTGTTGCTGCGCGTTTGATGGATGGCGGCTGGACCTGGATGTCTTCCGGTATGGACCTTGATAATGACGCTGCCTCTAGTCAGTAAATTATCGACCAAATGACAATCAAAATTGACATACAGACGGTAGATGATCGCTTTGGCCGAACAGCGATCGAATCCTTTTCAATGGGCGTACTGGGTTCCGATTTCCTAGACGGCGGCAGCAATGGTCTTTCCCCCTCGTTCTGCACCCACAAACACGCGTCTCGGAAATTCCTGGTAAACATGGTAGGATCTGATCTCGTCCGACATAACTCCTTCACGTGGCCAGCAGCCAAGAAATAGTAGAGAATGAGGGCCGACACACGATGGATGGCTTTGGAGCCGCCGGTATCGTCTCCAACATCACAAAAAGGCGCATGGAAAGCAACAGTACTGGTACTATTCACAGCTTGCAACTCGTGTGCGCCGTCCTCCAACTCGGTAATGCGATAAAAGCTGACCTCGGCCTCATCTTCGTGGACGTGCGCGGTGACCCGATCTATGGGTTCATCGTCGTCGCCCGCGGGGCCTGGCGCATATCCGCCGATGACAAGCAATTGCTTGTGGGTGGAGCGGCCGAGCCCTCGCCAGATGGCTCTGCTGATGGTGAAGCTCTCGTCGAACTGGATCCAATGCAGTCTTGCGGCGCGTGGCAGGGCGCGAAACGGCGCGGCAAAATTCGCACGCGCCCATGCTTGGACATTTTCGTTTGTCAGGGGCGATCTTGTCTCATGGAAGTCGGCCATTGTGGCGATTGATTGGCGTGGTGTCACCCGTTGTTGCGCTGGATTTCAATGGGGCGCGCCTTGATTCGCAGACGCGGAGGCTGCGCAATTGCGGGTCGTGGGGTGGTGACGAGCTGGTGCTGTTCCTGGTCGCGGTGAAGAATTGTACGACGAGCACAGGTCGCCGCCATTGAAGCCCGTTGGTGGTCGGATCACGGCGACATTGCTCGAGAAAGCTGTGTAGAGGTTGACGCAGGCAGAAGTCAGGCGGGAATCCTTCCGCTGCCCGTTATTTGCGGGGCTGGCAGTGGCTGGACGACTAGAACGGAAGGTGTGCAGCGCAACCCATTTTAACACATGCAAGACGGCCATCATCCCAATCGTCATCGCACAGTTGCATGTTTCGGTGTTTTGCATCCATCGCGCTGCATATCTAGTTCTGGACTTGCGCGATAAGGGTGCTGAGCGTCCGTAAAGCGCTGGTTCCGGGTACCGAGGTACCTCTTGTTGTCGAGCGCATCGCGCGCTTAGCCCCGAAGAGACCTGATACACTTGGCAATAGTATCAAAATAGCTAGAGCTGGATTAAGGTTGCAGGTGCGCCGGACAAGGTTCAGGATGGTCCTGGTCAGGCCAGGCGATGAGTTCATCGGCAGTTCACGGATGCTTGCGCTAGTGGTCGAGACCATCATGTTTCTTATGTTGTGCATGTGCTATGTATGGGTGCGTCAGGAACTGCACTCAGCAATCGTGAGCATATACATGATGGCAGTGATGCCAATGGGTGCTGATACCTATGTGATACAGGTCAACACTTCCATTTTCACAACGGCCAATTGGTACAGCAGGACTGTGGTAGTACGAGCAAACTCGCCGATGCCGTCTTTGAGGGAATTTGCTTTTTCCAGTGAACGATCGATCGTGGTATTTCGTAGTGAGGTGTGTTTAACGTTGTTGCGTCCACGGGTGCCACGGGGTTCTCGCGTGGAGTTCTCACGTGCCTTCGCCCGATCGGGCAGTCCTACGCGTCTACGTCATCGCCTTTTTTCTGCCACGCGCGCGCCACGTGCGACAGCTTTCACAGTCACCCTGCGCACCTCCATTCTGGCCTTTCCACGCTTCCTTACAGCTGTCGTATCTGCAGTTGTCTTGGCCTTCTTCCTCAAAGCGCCCTTCCCACCCATACCGGAGACCACGATGCCCCGCCGCAGCGCGACCTCGTCGGCATCCACCGACACGACCACGACTACAACGCTCCCAGAAAAGGTCCAATGGCCGTCAACGTTCACGGATGGTCTACCGCTCCCTAAAATTGTCGTCTTCGATCTCGACTACACACTATGGCCCTTCTGGGTTGATACGCACGTCACGCCTCCGCTGAAGCCTGTCGAGGGCGGCCTGAAGGTCAAGGACAAATATGGCGAGGGCTTCGGCTTCTACAACGATGTCGGCGGCGTATTAGAAGCAGTGAGATGACTCGATATTCATCGACTCCATGACGAAGCTGACGTAACGACAGCTCAAGCACAAGAACATCCTCATCGCCGCTGCCTCGCGCACGTGCGCCCCCGATCTCGGCCGCGAAATGCTCAAGCTCCTCAAGATACCCAGCGCAAACGGATCGTCCTCACGCGCGATAGACTACTTCGATCACATGCAAATATACCCCGGCAGCAAGACGACGCACTTCCAGAGGATACATAGAGACAGCGGGATCGAGTACGAGGATATGCTTTTCTTCGACGATGAGAGTAGGAACAAGAATGTGGAGGTGCTGGGAGTGACCATGCAGCTGATAAAAGACGGTGTGACAAGAGATGAGATTGACAGAGGTGTGCAGAGTTGGAGAAAGAGGAATGGACGGACAAAGGCGCTGGAAGGCTGAGAGGACAGTCTTTGAAGCCATCAGTGGCATCGTAAAACCTGAACATTAGATCGAAACGTCCGATGTCGATCTTATATTCAGGTTTTACGATGCCACTGATGGCTTCAACGCTGCCGTCGCCGCCTGACCGCCTATCATACTCTGTTGATCCCTAACGCAACGTTATATATTGCTGAGGCGTCCCGTTAGATCGATCCAACGTACATGGCGTCTCAGAACCCCGCCTTGTACATGCACATTAAAGTACTGTGGTGACCGCTAGAGGAAAGACGGACTTGGCATACGCAGCCTTGTGCCCCAATGCAGCCGCTTCTGGGCAGGACTCATACCCGACTTTCTTACATGTCTTATAATAACATTCCTACAATGTCGGTGTGGCAAGGCACCACGGGTCCGCCCCATGTGGAAGCACTAGCGGAGCCGCATCAGGCTGCGTGCCGCTCCTGTACCATACCTTGAGCTGACACGAAGGAGGCTGTGGCTACTTTGTTGCTAATGAGACTGTATACATATCAAGCTAGTGTTAGGATCCTACACCCGTAATGCGTCTCCCGAAGCTTCACCATTTCCGGTGGTGATGTCTGGCCAACAAGAGGCCTAAACGCATAGCTTGCTTATGCTGTACTCCCGTCTCATATCTCCCTATGCTATACTCAATTGGACGGACTGCTAATTCCTGGAACTAGATCTTACGATCGACAGTGTTATGCGGCCGTTTTTGGACAAGATTATCTACCGTGTATGCGGTGCTCCTTCGACGTGAAAGTCATCATGAGCACATTGATACAGTTCCGGCTCGATGTGTGGCTCTTTCAATTGCAATTCTCGCTGTGGCGTCTGATGTTCTCGCTAGTATCGTGGAAACACTGCTGTGACTACCAAGCATTGCTATCCTACTGTCGAGGGTAGACGGCCTCTGCCTACAGTCCGACAGAAAAGTGACGCAACTCTATCAGGCTTCATTAGCTGCCACGTCTCCGGATAGGAAGAACAGAAGTCATATCAGGGGCTTCCGCTGTACTCCTCAGCCTCACGAACCCCGGTCACTGGCAGTCGAATCCGCCGTGTCTCCAACAAGGACAGTAAGGCTCTTTGCCCCGAATGCACGTCCAAGCCTACCATGCACTATACCATCGATGGGTCTTCACCGGTCACATCGCCCCAAAATTAACACAGGCATCGGGGCCTTATCGTAGTTGAAGCGGATGGATGTCTTACTTACATCTACAATTTGTCTATAAGTACTGTGTCCGCATTCTGCTTTGAAAGGTATCCAGCAGATCGAACTGACAACGAACAATCAACTACAAGACAAACATCAATTGAGACTTTCGGCCAGCCACAAGCATACAGTCATGTTTTTCAAATTCTCCATCACCCTGCTCGCCATCAGCAGCGGCGTTATGGCCTACACAAACAAGTAAGATACGCACGCTTTCTTTACTACCTTTTTCGATCACAACCCTCTTGCCGTCACCGTTAATCGAAGGCACTAACCTTCTCAGCTGCAAAGGATCCACCAATTCGCCTCTCATCGCCGAATGCCGCGATGCCATTGCCAACAACATCAACGCAGGCCTCACCTACAGCCACGACCAAGAGTTCTCCTACGGAACCTGCTACGTCAAGTACGCAACGAATGACAAGGCGAGTGTCTCACACCCTGTGTCTGGTCAGAAAATCAAGGATGTAGCAACGCGCATCCTAAATGAATGCGGACATCACAAAGGCAGCTTCGGGACGGACAACTGTGACGGGTGCCATGTCACGGTCAACTATAAGGCGCGTTAAAGGCAGAGTGTTGTCTTATCCTGTTGGTACGAATTTCAGCACATGGTCTTTACAACAGTCAGTCATTACCTAAATATGTACACACTCATTCAATTATAACCTGCTTCATGTGGTCTTTTACCAGCGACCCCCAAAAATGAATGGCTTCTGCAAGCGCGATTATTGAATAGCTGCCAAGGTGATTTGCAGATAACGATCAGAACGACAAGGCACTGTGATAACCATTGGTGCCACAGGGGAGATGGTGACATATAATTAGATCTGCTAGGCTGAGCACAACCAGCTGATCAACATTTGCGCATCAAGGCATCGACCTGCGTACAGCGATGTAGCACTAGAGTCGAGAGTCGATTCTGTTACTATCAGTGTGCAATATTTGGCACAAGAGAGGAAGAACAAGCCTTTGATGTAGTCAGATCTGCACAAAGAGACGAATGAAACAAGATATTAATGGATCTCTAAACCAATTGAGATCGCACGGAGGAAGGCCTTTCCCGTGGCTGGGCGCGAGCGCATTGGCGCTTCGGTACGGACGGCTTCTTCATAACTAATCACATGGTATGTCCACACATGGTGCATCCTTACGAATCTAATCTTGGAAAGGTTTACTCGTTTACTCGTTTTCTCGTTTACAACGCCAGTACGGCATCCCGCTACCGCAGCCTGTCAGCTAGCCACGGAATGACAGCCCGTTGCGGCCTTTTCATCATAAACACCTAACTATTCAGTACTAAAGCGTGCCTCAAGACCCACTCAGAGCGCTTAGTACCTTTCTCCCCGCCTTTTACACGATAGCCTTGGTGTACATCGCCTCGCTCCCCCGTTTGGCTGTTTCTGGGCAATGCTTCTCCATAGCTTGTTTGAACGGCTTGTAACAAACGTGATTGAGTATCGTTATAATCGTTACCTAGGTAGCCTGACGCAAAGCTTCAATGGTCAACACAGACGAGGGGAAAGTCTTATTCTGAGTTAGGCTCAACCTTCCGAGGTCTTTTTCGCTGAGCGTGATGCGAAGGCAACTGCGGTGTCGCATCAGGCTGCGTGTCCACATGCGCCACAAGCTTTTGGACCCTTCGGAAGCTTATCGTGTTTTGGACGGATACTAATGCACATATATCAAGCTAATGCCGGGGCCGTGAGACCTTAAGGCCGTAAGGCTGTACCACATGTACACTAGCTACGGCCCGCAAACCTTCACCACCTTCCACTACCGAATTAGCCAACGAGAGGTGATGTGCTTCCTGCTTACTTGCATAATATTACCATATTGTAACTCCAAGATATTAACCCTATTGCGGATTCGTGCTGCTAGATGCTGTGATCGACCGGATCAGGCGTTCGTTCCTGATCGGCGCTTCCCGGATTACCCGAAGTGGGCGGATCTCTCGACACGTCTCTACGCTTTCGTGTACCTAGGTAGTACCGGAGGGGCTTCCGATTGCATCTCTCGTTGGTACGTTAACACAGACTTTCACGTGCACTTCACGATGCAGAGCTGTGTTTACTGCGTATCGATACCGAGTTCGCAAGGCAAACTGCTTCTGTCAAAACTTCCGCTTTTAAGACAAGTGATTCGTGAGGTTTTACCAGCTGGGTACTCTTCACGAAGAGAGAAATAGATCCTAGGGGCTCTCAACCGACATTTTAGGAACATGATCTCCAGATCGGAGTTGTAGCCGAAGCGTGTGCATCGAGCATATGGGGGGCCTCATCCCAAACACGCATGCCTCAGGCCATCATGCACATCAGCATCGACGCACCCTCACCGGTATCTCGACTTCCAAAATAGTAAGGACAGCGTATAGTCAGCTAAGGGGTGGCGAGTGTGAGTCCGCTTGTACGCAGACATTTTGTCTATAAATACTGCGTCCGCACAGCGGTTTAGAAGCATCAAACACATCAACTTCCCATCCATTACCATCACAAACACTCAGAAACACTCCGCAATCATGTTCGCCAAAATTGCACTCGCCCTCTTCGCTCTTAGCAGCACTGCTCTGGCCTACTCCGACAAGTAAGCCACTTCCCCTTCCTCCCCCTCTTCAGACATCAACCCCTCCTCTCTTTATTATCTTTACTTATACTAACCTACCCTCCCAGCTGCGACGGTTCCAGCCGCTCCCCCAACCTAAGCGAATGCTACGTCGGCATCGCCAGAATCGACGTGAACGCCTACTACAACGACCAGCAGGAGTTCTCGCAGGGCAGCTGCTTCATCAAGTACGCAACCAACGGCTCTGGTCAGCAGGCAGTGCGGGGTCAGGTCATCAAGGACAAGGCCGAGTATATCTTGGCTCACTGCGGAAAGTCGCATGGCAGCTATGGAACTGGTAACTGTGATAAGTGCCATGTGACGGTTAACTACCGTAGTTAGAGGGGGATGAAGGGATGTTTTGAAACTAGGGTGAAGAAGGGGTGATAGCGGTTTATGACGGCTGGTTGTTAGATACACACTCGTTCAATTGGAAAGTAGTGCACCTGGTGTCTCACCAAACAGACTCATGTACTTCATCTCTGTGCGAGACTCCCGAGGCCCCGAGGACCCAGGGTTAATCGACGCGGATAGCCACCTGGGCATGCAAAGGCTGGAAATCAGACTGTGAAGTATCTAGGTATAATAAGCGTGCTTGCACGAAACAGAATTACGTTCGGAAGTACTTTAAGTCGACGCGCTAGCGTCATGTTGACCCAAGTGGGAATTACAATTTGTACCGGCCGAAGGATGCAGGTGGGGCGCGTCCCTGCCGCATATGTCAGCACCAACCACCAACCTCGGGACTACCTAGATACCTTGTGCTTGTCACGACCAGGCTTCTTTTCCACGCCACCCAAATCCCTTTGCTTTCAATTTATCCCGAACCAGCTGTCTCGTGAGTGTCACAAACCACCATCTTCGCCTTCAGATCAGCCCCGGATGGCGGAGCAGGTACCTGCGGGTGTGCTTTGGTGCCGCCAGTGCAACAAGCCGTTTACCAAACGTCAGTGTCTTTGCCGTGCTGCTCCAACTTTGCGACAACGACTATTGGACTGACCGTTTCTCGAAGAATCATCATTGAAACGTCATGGTTACTATTGTCGGTCTAACACGAGAGCCTCTGTCCAGAGACGGCGATCGTGTGCGGCTTGCGCAAAGGCAAAGACCGCGTGCAATAACGCACTACCAGGATGTTCGCGTTGTATCCGAAGGGGTCTCATGTGTCACTATCCTTCCAGATCTACAAGGCAAAAGCGTCATGCTGTGCGTCATGCTACCTCCGACCACCTGGATAATCCCCTTGACGGTCATGCAAACTCGATTGTGCCAACTGTAGCCGATCAATCTCAAGGTCTTCTGGCTACTACATTGACCAGCCTTGACCCCGTGTTCGAAGACCTACAGTGGAGCCTCGACGATATGACGGCCTTTGGAGATTACATGATACCTACGCCTCGGTCGGCTTTCCCTTCAGTCACATCATCTTCAGCAGTGTCAGCCAGCCCGACGACCATTATGCCCCCTTCATCGTTGCTGGACTCAACAGACCCAATCTTCGACGACCAGAATAGACCTACTCGTCAGCGGGAGCGGCAACATCAAACCCAAAGACAACAGTCGTTGTGCTTTGCCATCTCACCTGGCCCCAGTTCGAACGTTCGATCAATGATCCAACGACCAAAAACGCACCACGGAGCGGAAAGAGCGGCCAGTCTCATCTTCTACACATTAAAGTCTTATCCGCTAATGCTGCAGCAAAATGACCTGCCACCTTTCATACATCCAAGCTATGTGTCGTTCATGGATGAAGGGACAACAATAGAACCACTTGAGAACTGCATCGCGTTGATGCACATGATGGCGAACCGGGTGAAAGAAAGCCGAAAGCTCTTCTGGCGGAATGTGAGAACCGAGTGTGAACGCATCTGTGACCAGAACCACACTCTGAACAAATGGGAACTACTAGGTGCTATGCAAGCTCTTTCAGTCTACATCTTGGTTCGTATCGACGAAGGCGAGACTGAGCACAATAATCTGGATTATCTTTTAGAGAGGGCGGTTATTGTGAGTCTAATGTGTCCGCACGTTTAGGAAACACATCTAACGAACTTCGTTCTAGCTCGTCGCAATACAACTTTCTCGCGACGATTTCGATTGTCATACGCATAACGTACCATGTCGCAGCAAGTCAACTAACAGCTGGCAAGGCTGGGTTTACAAAGAATTCAGGCGAAGGTACATTGATCATTCCGACGACCGTTGCAGATTCCCTCACTGATTCCCATGATAGACTCGCGGTAATCTATCGCATCCTGAACAAGCTCGTCTTCTTCGACCCAGCAGCCATGTGCGACATGCCCACTGAGTTCGTGATTGCGCCTCTGCCCGCTAAGCGACAACTCTGGGAATCACGGGATGCAGAGGAGTGGCAAAGACAACGGCAGAACGAGCTGCGAGAAGAGGCATCCTTTGCGCTGGCTGTCGAGGGTGAGATTGTAAGGTTGGACCAGCGTCGATTGTCCTGCCGCGATGCGTGGATGCCATATGTTCCGTTGGATGATGAGACACCATCTCAGATTTCTACGAGTAGAGCTGGTCGAAGTGCAGCTTGTTGGGCCCAATGGTGCTCTGGTATGGATAGTATGGGCGGGTTGATCATGCTCACGGCTTCTATGGCTTAGCGACATGGCTTGACGAAATCTAGCAAGATATATCAACAGTGAGATATCAATGAGTATTTGTGTACGAGTATGCATGACATAGCAACCGGCGAAAGCGCCACCCCATCCGAACTGAATCAGTGCGGTCGGATTTCACTAGTGTCGGGCGGAACAATTTGCACGTCGGGATTCGTGAACTCCGCCGTGTCTCTTTCCCCGACCGGGGTACAAGAACAATATAAGGATGATGGGTCGTCCTCCATTACGAATACCCAGGACGTTCGCATCTTTCTAAGTGGTATCAGTCGCAAGTCACGCAGCAATTAATCTTTTACTCCCCACCAAAACCCATTCAGATCACCATG